CCGTTCTCGGGCCTCGTGTTTGTGCAGCCGCGGAAGGAATTTTACTTCTCTGAGAACCCGTCGTGTCACATGATCGCCGCCAACCGGGTGAAGAGGAACGAACGTCCCCCCCCACGCCAATAAAAGATGAATCCCAGTGTGCCACTTACCGCTGATGGCCGCTTATCCGGAATCAACATACAAGTCCGGCGAGTTCTGCCCTCGCCCTTTTCTCCCCCGTCGCCCTTCCTCTGCGCGTCCTGTCCCGCGCCGCCATCTTTGGGGATCCGGCCGTCTCTTCCTGGTTCTTGGCTCCATGATGATATGGTGCCGGATGCATCTTCCCGTGCTGTGTGGAAGTCGATGACTCCGGAGATATCTGACATCGGTATCCCTGCATGGAGGATGTAAAATGTATACAGTACTCGACTGTAAAAATGGGGGAGTTTGGGGTGGAGGAACGTGACTGGCCGCACAGAGTCCTGACCTCAACCCCGTAGAACACCTTTGGGATGAATTCACACCTAGGCGTATTGCATATAAAAGTCGTGCGACAAACACGCGTTTCCGAAGGCTTCTTGGCTGTATCCCAATGGAAATGCGCAACAAAACGGCCCAAAGTAGTACATGTACCTTTTCAGGCGTGGGCCTTTTTGTAGCGCGTTAGGGACGCTAACCCTTCACTAGTTTCCATGCCCCCTCCACCAATCCCTCCACTAGTTTCCATGCCCCGCCCCTCTCCACCTATCCCTCCACTAGTTTCCATGCCCCGTCCCCCTACACTAATCCCTCCACTACTTTCCATGCCCCATCCCTCTCTGCCAATCCCTCCACAGATTCATCCACAACTCTCCCCCAAGCTACATCACCATCCTCATCTTCAAATATCACCCAAACCGTCCTCATCACTTCTCCCAACACCTCCTGCCCTCTAGCTGCCTCATCACCTCCTCCCATGCTCACCTCCAGGACTTCTCCCGAGCCTCTCCATCCGCTGGAACTCGGTACCACAACCTGCCCAGCTATCTCCAACTCTGTCTGTATTTAGACGATCCCTGATCAACCCAACAACTAAACTCTTACCACCTCAATCAGCTCATCCCCCCTCACTATTTTGTAACATTTGCTCCTCCCTTTTAGGTTGCAAACTCACAAGTCGCGCCCCCCAAACCCTCTTGTCTGGAATTGTATTGTAAAGTGCTGCGCAAACTGCTGGTGCTATATAAACCCCGTAGAATAATAATAACAGTAGCAGGATAATGACACATTTTTCAATGTTGGTCTCTCTAGTTTATTAGCAATAGACTTTTTCGAATGTGAAAACAAGAAATTGTTACATTGAAATCTCGCGACCATTTTCCTGAGGATGACAGAGATCATTTCCGAGAACTTTTTATAAAGTGACAAAGCATGGATACTAATGTTACCCTAAGAGAGATCATGTGAAGTCATTGAGATAAACAATTCCATGACTATTACCAGCTCCCTCGTCAACTCCTCCCATGCTCTCCTCCAGGACTTCTCTAGAGTTTCTTCCGTCCTCTGGAACTATTTACCCCAACCTGTCCGTCTATCTCCCACTCTGACTGCCTTTAGGTTATCCGTTAAGACTCATCTCTTCAGGGAAGCCGATCCCACCTCAACCTGACCACTGAACGATCACCTTCTCAAACAATTCATCCGCACACAGCTCCCTCCTCATGTATCACTGGCCCCTCCCCTTTTAGATTGTAAGCCCTCAGGGGCAGGGCCCTCATTACCATATAGTCTTGTATTGTGATTGTAATGTCTTCCTTACAGGGGCGTCCCGAGGCTCGGTTACGCCCGGAGCGGTAACCGAGTATCACCCCGCCGAGACGTCACTGCATCACCCGGGTGTGGGCTGCACCCCCCTTGTGACGCCACTGCTTCCTTATATTGTAAAGCGACGCGCTAACTGTTGGCGCTCTATAAATCCTGTATAATAATAATAATAATTACCATATAGAGACGATCTACGAATCAACGGAACCTGTCTGCTGTATATTTCTATATGTCCGATTTTCTATCTGCGTTCTGTTCTTGTATTGCTCTCAGTGGTAAAGCGTTGTGATACATTTGAAGTCTTTTTCCTGTGATGATCTTGTAACAAATTTATAACATTAATAATCAGCAACTGGTGGTCGCAAAGGTATTGTGCGCCAATGTCATGAACGCAACATTCGATCTGCCTTTGAACATACGAGATGCTTTTCGTCTCTGCGTCTGATCCCGCGTACAAATACTCTTCTACCATCGATAAGTGAGAGATGATAGTTGTGGTCACTCAGGGCCGGTGTTAGGATTCTTGCCTACACAGGCAAGGTGCCGCGATCCTCAGGCAGTCGCCGGCCAGCTAAATTAGGACCCCACCTGGAGCTCCTCCCACTGGACCAGCGCTGACTCGCCGCTGCTCTCCCGCAGCGAAGGTAAGTGGGGGAAAAAAAAACCATAGCGCAAACATCGGGGCATTTTGACAAGTACTTGTCAAAATGCCCTATTTTTCCGCCCTCACCCTGCAGCGCCCTCAGGCGGCCGCCTGACTTGCCTTGCGGTAGCGCCGGGCCTGTGGTCACTCCCCGCTGTTCCTCTGCTTTGCGTCTTATGGATGAAACAACTTATCTGTTACATAGTCACATGTCAGAGAAAGCAATTGGTCCAGTAAGTGCGACCAAAGTAAATCAACTGCAGAAGAAATATTTTATTCACCTTTAAAATGCTCAGAAATCCTTCAATGTGTTTTTGTTATTTTGTCTTTCAGGTTAAAGTGGATTATATGCTACGCTGGCATCGCAGGATGACCCCCCAGTGATGTTGTGCTGGTGAGTTCTGGATTCTTAAATGTAACGGCCAATGAAATCATGTTTATGGTTAAAGGAGAACTATGAGGGGCGTGATTTTCACTCAGCCTGATAATCTGAGCCGGCCTGTGACAGTGAGACTGTCACAGGTCGGCTCAGTAGATCGGGAAGTGAGCGAACACATACCGGCGCTCGACCATCTCTCTGCAGTGAGCGGTGACTGTCACTCACGGCTCCCTGCAGGGATTCCCCCCCTCCCCTGTCATATCCTCCATCGCTGACTGGCGGAACGGACGGGGGAGGGGGGCGGGTACAGCCTCTAGATAGGCAGAGCCAGCTGTCAATCCCGCAGCTGGGTGGATCCGGACAGTATTGTCGGGATCCGTCCCGCCTGCGGCGCCTCAGTATACCGCGAGCTGCAGCTCCCTATATACTGAGCTTTGGGTCACGGGAGGACGCTAGTTTCTGTTCTCCCGTGAACCTTAGGAGCACTATGGGGAAAAACACTGACCCCATAGTTCTCCTTTTAAGGGAGAACTCTGCTGAATATCTAAACTAAGCACATCACATGAATGGTATGGAACCCCCAATGATGAACTTCTCTTGTTTGCTTTAATGTGATTGGCCTCCTCCGTACACACAGGGGAAGTTGTGTAAAACGTTTCCACTGGCTCAGTGTATGGGGGAGAAGCAGAGAGACTCGTCTCGCGTTATGTTTATTTTAGTTGTCAGCGATTGATTTGACGCACTCGGGGCTTATATTTACAAACAGTGAAGAGGGGGGGGGAGCGGCGTCGGGACATTAGGGGTTAATGAAGCGGGGTGCTGCGCCTCTGTCCAGTTTTCCCTTGTGATTGTGCGGCGGAATAATTAACGCACACGTATAATGAGCTTTCTCTATAGGCTCTTCATGGTGCATTAGGGACCTGTATCCTCCGCAGTAACGCGCCCCTTTTGTCCTGCAAATTGGGGCCTCATTGGCAATTCTTTTGGCTTGTCAAACAGAGGGGCCGTTGAAGGACAGGGTGGGTCACCTATGGTGGCAGTGCATCATGGGTAGTGGAGCCAAGAACAAAGGGAATCTTGCATTGGGGGTTTCTCTCTACCAGACAGAAGTGCTTTTACTTTTAATCTTGTGTAGCTGCGATCTTCCTAAACACAAACCGCAATGCTGATGTCCAATGAACGGTGGATGCTGATTGGTTGTAATGGATTATTGTACTTTTACATAGATACTTGTACATTGTTCATGGCGACGGGTCACGGGGCATATTTACTGGTTCGTCTAAAAATTCTGTTATTGATTGTCAGGATCCCGCTTTTTTTGTTTGGTTTATTTCACTTTTTTGGGGGGGGCTTCCTATGTTTGAGTCCTTTCTATGTATAGACACGTCCTGCACACTCCTTCTCTAGTTATAGATTCATTAAGATTTGGGGTACACCCAGCTCAGAATCCATAAACTGCACCCCAAAAATGTAAAAACATGTTTTGTCTCATCTCTCTCTCCCTCCCTCTCTCATATCTCTCTGTCTACCCCTCTCCTCTATCTCTCTCTCTCGTCACTCTCTCTGTCTCCCCCCTCTCCTCTATCTCTCTCTTCGTCTCTCTCTCTCTCCCTCTCCCTCTCTTCTCTCTCTCTCTCTCTTCGTCTCTCTCTCCCTCTCTCTCCCTCTCTCTCATATCTCTCTGTCTCCCCCTCTCCTCTGTCTCTCTCGTCTCTCTCTCTTCGTCTCTCTCTCCCTCTCTCTCTCTTCTCTCACTCCCTCCCACCCTCTCTCATATCTCTCTGTCTCCCACTCTCAAAACTCTCTGTCTCCCCCTCTCCTCTGTGTCTCATTTCTCTGTCTCCCTCTCTCAAAACTCTCTGTCTCGCCCTCTCCTCTGTGTCTCTCTCTCGTCACTCTCGATCTCTCATCTCTCTCTCCCTTACTCTCTCATATCTCTCTGTCTCCCACTCTCAAAACTCTCTGTCTCGCCCTCTCCTCTGTGTCTCTCTCTCGTCACTCTCGATCTCTCATCTCTCTCTCCCTTACTCTCTCATATCACTCTCTCTCTCCCTCTCTCTCTCTCTCTCCCTCTCTCTTTCCCTCTCTCTCTCCCTCTCTCTCTACATCCCTCTGAACATTCCACCAACTCCCAGCATGAGCCCGGCCCCAGGCCTGTAAGACACAAATACCTGTATCAGGACGCACAGAATACAAGCACACAAATAGTGTAGACAACATAAAATGGAAAGCCTCCGGCAATAAACTCCACCACGCTCACAAATTCACTCCCATTGCGGTCAGTCCATCACCCGTGTGTCAGACAAGCGCAGTTATCTTGCTTGCTGAATGATCGCCGAGATAAAACCATTTACACATAAACATTGTCCTTTTTTTCTGTCCCAACCCAGATAGCGAGGATGACTTGCCACAAACTTGTGTCCGGGTTACATTGTAATTCTTGTTATCTTGCTGCGCACATTCCTGGCGGGTTGTAGACTCGCAGAACACTCGCAGCGCAGGTTCTAGGCGACACTTTTTGAATTTGCAGCAAATTTACTTGGCAGGTCTACAGCAAGAGCTCTGCGAGTGTCCGGCACTTCTGCAAAGCACGCTGATCTGGAGACTTGCAATGCAGACTCGCTGTAATTGTGCAACAAAATTGTGAAGCTCGACAAGTCCAGCAATAGTTTAGCGAGTCATTTTATAACTTGCAGCTCAATTCCTTGCTATCTGGGAATCTAAGCAAACTGACAGAGAGGAACGGTGAAACACAATCACTGTGCAGCACAACTAAGCAGGAGGCGTATGTGGGCAGTAAATGTCTATATGCAACGTTTTTCTTCGCTTTGAATAGAGATGGGAAGGGGATAAACCCCCGGCCAGGGTATGTTTGGCTGCCTGTGTGCTGTTTCCCTTTTTGTTCTGTCTCAGAGACACAACAGGAAGTGAGGGGAAATCTACTTTCGTATGGGAAATGGCCCTCTTAGGTGTCCCCATTGCAAAAATAAGTGCATCTCC